ATCTATCTATCTATCTAATAATTTTAGAGAATATTTTTCAATAGAAATGTTAATTATTTATTTAAATTACTTATGTTTTTATATCTGGAGTATTGACAAAAAGGTAGTTTTACAATTCTTAATCGGATTTAAATAGAATAGCATACCATTCTGAAATTTTTTCAATGTATGCCATATTTCATTATGATGCAAAAGTTCTTTTTCAATAACATCAATTTCGTTGAATGAAGGAGGATCCAAATTAAACTTCTTAAAATTATACCTGCAAAACAACATCAACTAATTAATGAAATTTAAACAAATGAAGACAATCACCAATCATTTTTAAACAACATTAATTATAAAGTGAAACGGAGACGGAGGCGATAAGAGTTGAATGAGGAGAGAATTTTAGGGATGCTATCAGGGTTAAGAACAAGCAGGAGGTCATCGACATATTTTTTGATGAAAATGATGTCTTGATCATCCTTTTCATCAAGACATCATTTTCATAAAAAAATTGTATTGATCATTTCAATTTAATTGTTCATTATTCTAAGTATTTCCGCTTTGTATGATCTCTCTTTTATTTTATTTTAATTTTATATTTACATTCTACATCAATGTATCATCATTTGTATTCACTTTACTTTTTAACCATGTCTCAATATTATCTAATATTTAAATGTAATTTTCTCAACCAAATATAATTATAATTATTCTTTTTTTTCCCTCTCTGTACTTCTAAGTTAGTTCTGTAATGTATGGTCTCTTATTTCTATATTTATATTTTACTTCTATGTAGATTTTACTTCTTCCATTTTTGTTTTTATTCACATTTTACTCTTATCTGTAATCTCTTAATTATATTTTATATGTATATGTATATATTTATAATTTAATATTTCATAAATATAGTATTTTTTCCCTTGAATCCATCCATATCTTCAAATTTTAGGTACTGTAATTTTCTAGGTTTTTCCCCATTAACCAAACAAGTCAGCAAATTCCCCAATACCTGTCCTTACCCTGGTTTTCCAGTTCTAAATGAAACTCCTAGCTGAACACACCTGTAAGTCTCTAATTTTATTCTTCCAATTTTTATTTACTTATTTATCTAATTTTGGTTTCCTTTTTCTTTTCTTTCTCCACATTCCTTTTGTCTATTATTTCATATTATATACTTTTTCCTTTTCTTTCAATCTCTCCTGTAGATCTGTAGAAGTATATTCACATTTGCATATATTATATATTACACTACAACAATTGTTACCATCCATAATGATGTAGAGATGGTTGACCGTTGATATGATATGAGAAGGAGTTAGTCGAGGGTGCGGTCAAATAAATAAAAAAAAATTAAAATATATAAATAATTTTAATTTTTGCCTGAATTAAATAGAGGCAAAAATTAAAATTATTTATATATTTTAATTTTTTTTTTATTTATTTGACCGCACCCTCGACTAACTCCTTCTCATATCAATTGTTACCATCTATTTACTTCAGTTTAGGATCTTGTTACTTAGCTTTCTCTGTTTATATTTTAATGTACTTACTGTTTATAATTTTAATAAGCTTATTCATATTGTTCATAATTTTTTGTCTAAATATTATGTAACTTCCAAAATTCTCTATCTGTTTGTATCTTGTACATCCTAGTCCTGAAGAACACCTGCAAAGTCGGGTCAAAACGTTGGCTTTTAATAAAATAGTTTTGCCACTATTTAACCTATTTATGACCACCACCCCGGACCATCTCTTTCTTTTATAATGCAACAGACAACTATTAAATATTCAACATTAATTATAATATGTATAAATATTTCCTCACTTTAAATTATTAATTTTTTCTGTTAACAAATTTAATTTCTGTCTTTTATCTTCCAAAATAGAAAGCTGAGTTTCAGTGTCTACAAAGTTGTCACTTAACATAGCATTTTCATCATCATACTTAAATTTCTTCCAAATAACTGAAAAATCATTTATATCTTCTTCTAGTACAAGTTTTTCTTGAAAGAGTTTGTCTTTAAATGATTCAGCCTGCAACAAATACATATTAAAAGGATACAGTAGATATAAATATTAAAGATATTACTTTGTTCAGCTAATATACAGCTCATTCGAACTATACTTATAATGATGAAAGATCAGGATTAATTTGCTGAAATTTATACTATTTTTTTATATATTACTTTATAAAAATAGCTAATAACTATAATTGTATTGACTAATATAGAATATAGGAGTGGGGTAGCTCAATAGGACACTGTACTTATTTGTTTCAGGCTGGGTTCGAGTCTAACTGAGGCAGAAAATTATTTATTCTGTTATATCAATCATAGATCAATACTAGCGTTACGAAATCATCCTGGGACACATACAGCCTCTTATAAAGTGGGTACAATTAACTGGGGAAAACCTGATGGGTGAGCGTGATTCTAGCTAAATCAACTCCTTGCACAATGGTCAGTGTAGAAACGTTTCTTCTTTACAAAGTACTGTTTCTGTACCCTATTATGTGTATTCTGATCTTGATCTACATCTTCGTACTCAATTTATTAGACAAATAAGCATCAAAAGCAAGAGTATTCCTTTTAAAACGAGAATAATGGATGATTAACAAAAAGGTTTACAATGCAGTGGACTTTTGATAACTTGAACCTCAATAACTCAAATTCCTTGATAACTCCATTTTTTTTTCTAATTCCCTTTATTTATCTATAGTGTTTGTTCATATTTTCATCTCTAAAAGTCGAATTTACCAAAATAAGAACCTTCATTAGATGGGTTTTCTTGGTTTTTAAGGAGCAGTAATACAGAAAATCTCTGTGGTTCGAACTTTTATTTCCAGCACCTCTACAACTTAAATTCAGATGCCCATGTGAATACAGCAACTCCCTCATTTAAAGGGCTTACTCTCCCTCTTCTGCCAAACAAAACTTTTTTTTATAGTTATGTTTACAAGAGCATTAAGTTAGTATTGCTGCATCGGAAACTCAATCTGTTGATAGAAATTTCTTAACATTGTTTTATTGCACCTGTGTAGCTTTTTATATGGATATGTGAAACACATTAAAGAAATAATGTGTGTGTCAGTGAGGAAATCAACTTTTACATTAGTATCCATATATATAGGAGAAAGGATGCTGGCTCCAGTGGGTAAAAACCAGTAATAGTATTACCATCTTGGAAGTTGTTGTATGACAGAGTCACTAGTTGTTTGGAATTACAACAGAGAGGATCTCCCAGGGAACTTGAGTTGAGTAGAAGAAAGTGTCACAATTTTGGAAGTTGTGTTTGGCAGAAGATTGGAAAGCATTTGGAGACAAATGGACTTAGTGCATCAAAGGAAGAAACAGTATCTTTAGAAAAAAGGTTAGCTTGCCAATCCACATTTGACTTTATTTTAAAATCAAACAGCGTTTAGTATAGTTAATTTTAGTTTGTCTAAGTGTTTTGATCTGATTGTCAGTAACCCATACCTGAGCTAGAATAATTGTAAATTTCAGTTTATTATATTAATATTCTTATAACTTAGTTTTTAATTTAAAGACCTCTTATTTATTTTGAAAGTATCCCAACAGTATAAAGTGATCTTCCGAGGTTATATTATTATTTGTAAAATAAAGAGAGATATTACAATATATATATATATTTTATTTTTTTTTCGGTTGGCTCTACAGACCTTGTAGATATTTGGCCGCCTGAACCAGCCTTCTCCACCTCTGCCTATCTTGGGCTACTGCTTTCCAGTTTGCGACATGAAGCTCAGCCGTATCTTTGTTTATCCTATCTATCCATCTGGTTTTTGGCCTCCCACTTGGTCTCTTGGCTACTACTCTGGCATTCACTGTCGTGTAAAGGTGTCCTGATGGATTGCTATGAGCTACATGCCCTGCCCATCTTAACCTAACCTCCTTGCCTTCATGTCATACGATATTGACTGACCCGTTTCTTTTTCCAGTTCCTTATTGTTCCTTCTCCATGTGTCAAGGTTCTGGTCCCATATAGGTCCTGTTATCCTACGTAGAACTTTTCTTTAGAATCTCTCAATTCTAGCTTCAGAATTCACTAATTCAGAATATTAGTCATTATTTTATAGGAGACCAGAAGAAAACCTATGCCTATGTAATTGCCAATTCATACATGGAGCCCTTCTTAAGGATAGGACAGATCAACCCTGTGCTCCATGCTCCTGGTATCTCACAGCTTGGCTCTGAGTTCTTCTCCTCCATCCTTGAACAATTCTGATGGTAGGTTGTCTATCCCTGGAGCCTTTCTTCTTTTAAGCCTGCCAATAGCTATTTCCACATCCAGAATATCTGGTTTTTCAACCTCAAGTGGGTCGATGTCCTCAGAGTGGTCCATATCTTCTTCGTTTGTGGGGTGCCCTTAATTAAGCAGCTGCTGGAAGTGTTCCTTCCAGATGCTTAGGATCTTTTCTTTTGATGCCGTCAATTTGCCATCTTTCCCTCGCATTTATGTATTTCTCGCTTTATATCCTACCCTTTCTTTCCTGATATCTGCGAAGAATTCGCATATATTTCCAGCCTGCTAGTTTTCCTCAATAGTTTGTAATCTTTCTTTGAGGAATTCTCTTTTGGCTGTTCTTATTATTTTGTTTGTCTTTTTGCTGGCGGGTGCGTATTTGTCCAGCATAGCTTGATCAGTTTGTAAGCAGAAGACTTTTCTTCTTACTTTTCTTCTTTCCTCCACTGCCTTTTCGCATGCTTCTGTGAACCATTTCTTGGCTTTTCTTTTTTCCTGAATCCCTATTACTTCCTTAGCTGTTTGTTTTAAGGGTGGGAGATAAAGAGGAGCCTTGTGGGACACCCCTGGCACAAAAAATAAATTGATTTCATCTGCTTCATATTCTAAATGAAATATTATTTTAATTACACAGAATTACAAGCAGTATCAGTGAATTATGATAAGCAATGTTTATATCACAAAGATCAAACCTGTTTTCCTAAGAATGGTAATGGATCTTTTAATTTATAAATTATAGATGAAAAAAATCATGAAGTTACCTTTTTACCGAATACATTGTTGAAATGAGATAGTGCTGATTGGTAGTTTAACCAAAGATTATTAATACTTTCAACCTGAGGCAACATTTCACCAGCCCATCTTTTCAAAATACTATGGTAGTCATCAGTTTTTTGTATTAATGCAGTAATCTGTAAATTTTTAGTTTTACAATAATAAAAATTTAAGAAATCCTGAAGAAAAAGTTTTTGTAATAAAAAATAAATGTAAAAAATCTCTATTTTAAGTTTTAGGTGAAAATTCTTTTTAAGTATTGATTTTATTTAAAATGGGACAGTTTTCACCAAATATTCTGTTCAATATTTTTTCGTTTACATGAATAAAACATCTGGTCAAAACTGACAACCTAAATAATTTCAATACTTAACAAGTTTATTTTCATAACAACTAGTTCTTTAATAAATAACTGGAAGTATGATTATTTCATATGGACTCAAGAGTTTAGCCAGAACATCTGGGAAGAGAGGGACAAACCTTTTAAAAAGGGGAAAATTAATTTATGGGAGGGGGATAAATTAGTCTTTATTTTGTAATTAGTTTCTTCAACTGTCTAAACTTGCATTCTTCTGGATACAACCTTGTATAGACTGTTATACTATCTGCAATTGATGGGAAATGTGTAAACTATGAGGATGAAGTTTGACTCGTGGCTCTTTGTTAAGCCTGAGATGCTAAAAAAGCAATTATCATGAATCTATTACTAACTTATTTAGTAATAGTAATTTAGAAATAAGGTTGAAGAACCATAATATAGCTGTTATACCTCTTCATTTTCAATAAGTAATTGTTGAAACTGGAAGTAAGTATCAACATAATCTTCAACTGATGATGGGTGTTGACTCACTATTGTCATTCCTCTTCTGACGAAGGATTCTAGTGAATTAATATTTTCTATGATCAAGGTCCTAAGATTTGAGATCAATTTAAGCCAAAATTTAGAATTTTCCTCTTGAAGATCATCACAGAAATGATTGATAGAAACCACAAAACATTCTATTTTCACTGAAAATCTAAAATTGTATAGAAGTTTTAATCATTACTAAAACAAATTTGTTTGTATAATCATATATAACTTGATAAAAAAAGGGAAGTACGGGTGTTAGTTAATATATTTTCTTTCTTAAATAAAAAAGAGAGAGAAACACTTTGTTGATTAGTGAATGCTGCCCAAATATATTGGGCTATTACATCAATCAACATAATTATCAATCAAATAAGACAATTACAAATATATAAGGGAGAAAATATTAATAAATATAGCTAGGTATTTTTTTCTTTATTGTATTTATTATTGTTATAATTTATTCACTATCCAGAATTTTTAATGGCAACACCTGTCATGGAGTAAAGACAAATAATAATCATGATCACTTTAGATATAGTATTTTCAGAAAAGAAAAGTAAACCTTTCACCAAATTAGTCAATGTTACAAATCATGAAATTGTTTTGTCAGCTTAATATAATTATTCAGTGTACTTTTGCTTTCACTAATGCAAACATGCTAGCTGCTCAAGTACAGTAGACAGATTCATCTGCAAGTGATTGCAAGTTGTTTTAGTTTATTATTATAGGAATATTAGCTCATAAATATCATTTTAATTTGTATGGTCTTAAACTCAATGCAATACAGTAATTACTATTTTCAACGATTGGTTTTATTATTAATTAACATTTTTTTTTTAAATTGACATTGTTACTGGAGGGCTGGTGGTTAACACCAGTGCATTAAAACTGTTGGATTCACAATACTCGAAGATACCAGTTGAAAAACTCATTTGAAAAATGTAAAATTTACATGATCCACAACTAACTTCCATCACTCTAACTTCATAATGAACTAACCTTCAACAATATGAAAACAGACTAACCCTCGTCTATGAAACCTCTTCCATATGATGTATGTCATGGGCTATACCCAGAACGTTTTCATTACTTTCAATTATTTTGCAGTGCTATTAAGAATATTGTAGAAGTACAATTTTTAGAACTTTTCATAAACGTATATTTTTAGAACTTGTACAGTATAGAGGGGGTTTCTGGAGATCATCATCATAAGGTGACGCAACATCCTGTCATCGAGACTGGGTCACCTCTAAAAGTCTCTGCCAGTTTGTTCGGTTGTTTGCTGCAGCTCTCCAGTTTTGGAAACCAATAAGGGCCTGTGTGTCCGTAGAGACCCAGTCCATTCATCCAACTCGCTGTTTCCCATAGAGCTCTTAGGTAAGGATCATTGTCGGAATCTCGTTGACAGCCATCCTTTGCACAGGTCCTTCCTATCGAAGTCATCTGAGCTTCACAAACTTGACTGTGTCAACATCATTGTAGAGTATCATTAGTTCCTCATTCCTCTTTTTTTTCCAGACATCATCCTGTCTAATAGGACCCAAAATAAGGCTAAGAATGCTCCTCTCGAAGGCAAGAAGCCTAGATTGATCTGTTTTCGTGAACGCCCAAGTCTATGAGCCACAAGTGACATCTGGACAGACCAGGGTCTTATAGAGCTTTATCTTAGTCTGGTTAGAGCATTCTATTCCTAAAATGTTTGGCAAGGCCAAAGTATCAATGGTTAGTTACTGCAACCTTCCTGTTTACTTCCTGGGTAATGTCATTTTGAGAGTTGATTTCTGAACCCAAATAGGTGAAGCTACTTACTTTCTGAATACAGTACTCTACTGCATTAAAATATCCAACTCCTGGTTCAGCTCCTCATCTTGGCATCATTAACAACTAGACCAAGATCCCTAGAAGCATCTGCCAGTGCTAGGAATGATTCTCGTAGGGCCCATTCCGGTCTGACAGCAATATCAAAATCACCTGCCTATCCAGAAGCCAGACTGTGCTGTTAAACAGTATTGATCAGAGATGGATTCCAGAATTCTTTACCGCCTTCTCCCCTGCAAAATTAAAAAGGAGGCATGCCAAAGCGCCTCCCTACCTAACACCACAATTTGTGAGAAAGGGGTCAGAAAGATCTAGGCCCACATGCACCATACTTTCAGCTTACTATTGTCATCTTAACCAGTCTCACTAATTTCATCGGGAGAAGTTCATTTCTTTTAGGGCCAGGTAAAGTTATGGTTGAGCAACACTGTCATATGTAGATTTGAAATTGTCAAAGAGATGATGTGTTACGATTTTATACTCTTTGCATTTTTCTAACATCAATCTCAATGTAAATAGTTGGTCCATAATGGATCTTCCCCTTTTAAACCCTGCCTGACACTTTCTGATCTCTCTATCCGCGTGGATAACCAATCTCTCAAAGAGGATATTTGAGAGTACTTTGTAAGCAAATGAGAGGAGAACAATACCCCAGGAGTTGCTGCACTCCAACTTATCTCCCTTCTTGTGGAGCGGACAGATAATAACTTTTGTCCACTCCTCAGGCATTCCTTCTTCTTGCCAAATAGAAAGGATGAGATTGTGAAGATCCTTGTTGTAGTCAGGACCATCATACCGCAATAGCTCTGCTTGAATGCCGTCCTGTCCAGACCCCTTATTATTCTTCAATTTTGCAATGGCTGCCTCAACCTCATTTTCATCAGGTGACTCTGCATCATTCTGGGAGTTCTCTTCTCTACCTGTATCAGCACTTTCCTCCACATCTACTTTTTGGAGTATCCTCTTGAAGTGAGAAGTTCATCACTCCAAGATGTTCTGTTTATGTGGTTTAACATCTTTTGGCTTGGAGACGTTGAATTTTTTCTGCATCGGCCCAACCTCGTTCCTCACAGCTGAGATTCTTGCATGTATTCTGGCAATGCAAGGTTATGATCCGTATCTGCACTGGCTCCTCGGCAAGTTATGGCTCCATGAGTTTAGACTTGTGTTGAGAACTAACCAGAATATGGTCAATCTGATTAGAGACGGCTCCATTTGTTGATCTCCAAGTAACTTAATGTATTCTCTTTCCTGGGAACATGGTACTTCCTACAACTAGGCCTTGAGAATTTGCAAAGTCAGTCAGCTTTTGACCATTATTGTTAGTAAACTCGTGTTGGCTGAATACTCCTGTAGTCGACCGGTGCACACGTTCCTGGCCTACTTGTGAATTTAAATCTCTCAGAACTATCTTAACGTCGTTAGTGTGACAAGCTACAAAAGCTCTCACGAGATCTTCGTATAAGTCATCTTTATCTTCTTCTGGTGGTACCTCAGAGAGGTGCATGATAATTGATGAAAGAGGTGTTAAAGAATTTCCCTTTAAGGTGGATCTAGCATAGATGGGGACAGATGGGTATAAATTTCAAGACCAGTTGGCGGAATCTTCCTCTAACAATAAATCCAGTACTGAAGGTTTGGTGGATTTCATGGCAGCTGTAGTACAGGGTTTGACATTTCTTTTTAAATGTAGCACATCTAAGCCAGAGGAGTTATTCATTTAAGATCATCTGGCTTTAATACTTTTAGAAGTTTTCATGATTGCTATTTACTGAAATTGCTATGTACAGTTCATCTTCATTAGGATCCCAAGGGACGCCTCTGTCTACTGTTTTTATGAAGATTTGAAGTGGCTTTATCCTTTCTACCATTGTAAACATTTCTTGGCATCCTTCCACTTTCAAGTCATACAATCCCACTATCCCTCACACATCTTTGAGCTCTTTCAATTGGAATCCTCTGTTCACTCCTGCAATACCTGTTCCCGGACTTCAGATTTATATACAACTGCACATTGAACTGTGGTTTTTGACAGATCTTTATTATTTGATCATCATCCCTATGAAATTCCATCTCCTCCTAGATCCGTCACTACAGTATTCTCCCCACCTTTAAATCCCACCTGTTCAATTCACTTCTTATACATTTAGTTCTCAAACAAATATAAATATGTAAATAAATTATTAGTTCATTTTTAACTATTATTATTTCATGTTTCATTTATTTATTTTTCTCAACTGATTAAATTTACAAGGTAATGTGTAATTTTTTATTATTTCTATTTGTTTATTTTGTTATTATTTTTTTTGTTAATCATGATTGGTCCTAGGAATGTTGATGCTCGAGATAGTATAACTTTATTTTATTTTATTTATAACATAAATTTCAAATCATAAAAAAGGAGAACAGCTAATTTTAGCCATAAATCGCAATAAAAATATGGGATTTTAGGTTTTGAAGATGGGAATAATTTTCCCAAAACGTCAACTTAACATGTAAATCAACAAATAAACCAATTTTTGTATATCTGGAAGTTTTCATGCCGAAAATACAGAATATTATACAGCTTCCCAGCAAAAAAAGAAGAAAATAGGAATGTGATTATTATATAAACTGACCTTAAATTCTTTTTCACAGATTTCTCTCATTCCCAAGATTCTTTATTGCCTGCTCTACCACTTTCTGGAATTCTATCTCGATTAAAATTCGACATGCCACCTCCTTATGCACATTTAAATCCCTTCTATTCCAATTCCTGTTCCAAAAACAGTCAGATACCTGTTACCCATGTACGAAGTAATAGTGCGTTGTTCTTATTATTCATGTACTACTTTGGACTTTGTACACGTATTTCATGTTGCTTTTCATATAATGATAAATCTGTCTTTTTGTATGTATATAACAAGAATCTCCTGTCTCTAAGCCACTCAATGTATCTATTTTATTCTTTTTTTTTATTTACGATTGAATTATTGCCAATCTAAAATTAATTAATCATCCTCTTCATTTGATATATATATATATATATATATATATATATATATATATATATATATATATATATATATATATATTGTAACGTTCCCTTTGTCAACATAAATCAAAACAACGAGTTTCCTTTTTCAATATATTATTTATTTTAACACATATAACATAAATCTCAGGTTGGGTTCGGATAACTGAACACTCATTCAACATTAAATAACTATAATTTACCAATTACTAAATACACTAATTATACATATAAAATTTATTTTGTTTTCAAAAACCTTTATTGTCCCAGTCTAAACTTTGTGGTTCTTTCTATTTTCTCAGCTTGCTGGCTAGTACCTTCTCTC